TACCACGCCGTTAGGCTCATGCTTTTTCTGGAATTCCCCAGATGACCACAAACAACTCTAGGGTAGTGTGCTATACTATGCATTTTGGAGTATTCATGTAACAGAATACTATATTTGCCTTATTTTCTTTTTTCCCCCTTTTTTTTTTTTTTTTTGAGATGGAGTCTCACTCTGTTGCCCAGGCTGTCGCCCAGGCTGGAGTGCAGTGGTGTGATCTCGGTCTTACTGCAACCTCTGCCTCCTGGGTTCAAGCAATTCTCTTGCCTCAGCTTCTCAAGTAGCTGGGATTACAGGCGCCCACCACCACGCCCAGCTAATTTTTGTATTTTTAGTGGAGATGGGGTTGGTCAGTCTGGTCTTGAATTCCTGACTTCAGGTGATCCACCCACCTTGGCCTCCTCAAGTGCTGGGATTACAGGCGTGAACCACCACACCCAGTCAATATTTGTCTTATTTTAATAATTAGTTATTCTATATTCTATGGAACTATAAATCCTATATTTACCTTCATTACTATATGAATTGACAAGTGAAAAGTGCTTACTTTTTTAGATTTATTAATATTAGTAATCCACTTTGGGGACAATAGACTTTATGTGACATTGAATTGTGTTGTGTAGTTACTAAGATTTTTATAAAGTATGGTCTTTAGTTAACTCTAATATCTTTACTACTTTAAGTAGGTAATAATATATTCAAGTTATAAAGTATCTACTCTAAACACTGGTTCCATAACAAAGAAACCATTTAGCATCTGTGAATTTTTTGGAGGTTGGCCGTAAAGAGCTATGACATTATATGAATGAGAAGGACCATGATACTTATGTTAATCTCTTAAAATGCTTTTGAATCTGTTAACTACCTTCAGCAACAATTAGGATGTGTGCCCAGCTCATGCTAAGAGACTATCAATGGATTTCATTGTGTTGACCTCAGTCACTATCAGAGATAGGAAATCAACTTATCATCTCCTGACCATATTGTGTGTCCCTTAAACTGCTGGTTCTCAACTTTAAATGCACATCAGGACATCTAAAGTGTCCAGGCAACACCCAAGACCATTTACAGCAAAATTTCTGGGAGTGGAATCCCAACATCACTTGTGTTTTTGAAACGATCCCTAGCTGATTCTAAGTGCTGCCAAAATTTAGAGCCATGCCCTTAAATCAGAACAGACCTGGCCCATCCTTTGTTTCTCCCTCCCAGTCCCTTTCACAGTACCTGCTGGAATCTTGCTTGGGATCAGGAACCATCTCCGTATCTTTATGTGTTCCTGGAATATCAACTCCTTTCTTAACAGAGATCTCCTAAGGGCTCCCCCTCCCCAACGCTTTACACACCAGGTACCCAAGTCAGGAGGTGATTGGATTTTTTGCTTGCCTTCCCACCTAAAGCCCCTTCCAAACCACTTCTTCTTCTTGAAAAATCTCCTATCCTTTGAAACTCATTCATGAAGTTAGACCAACTTCCTACCTTCCTTACTGCTGCCATCTGCTATTAACCCCCTCATTCACTAAAGATGGTTCACCTCACAGACTTCTCTTGCCATCCCTATTCCCATTTTCTTTCCCTGAAACTCATGTATGCTCCTGGCCTCAAATCCTTGACCTGCTGGGTTCCACTCTTCCTTTACCCCACTTCATCACCCTCTCATGGTCACCCTGGTCTTTGTCTTCCCTGGAAATTTAATTGCTTCTCCAATGTTTTTAAATCTCACTCTGCTAACCACCTCCTATCCTTTTGAAGTTTGCTTGCTCGGCCACTCCCACTGCCACCTTTCTTTAACCTTGTCAAGACCTCTAATCCTCAGACACCCCTTTCTTTCTAGCTCACCAGCCTCTTCTTGGCTTCTCCTCTCTACTTCTCCAGCCTTGATTCTATACTGCATCAGTATAATCAATCCCTTGAAAGTACCGTCAGCTTCTCTGCATCCCCACTCGACTGGACTCAGCTACCAAGACCCGATCCTGCTCCAGCTTCAACTCTCCACCTTTGGTTACCTGCACACACAGCAGGGCTCTGAGGTCCTAACAAGCCTCACGTGGGCACTCAACTATGCCCAGAAACCATGCTCTGCTTTCCCACTGTGAAGATAACAATTTTGTACCTTTTCCTCAAAACTGCCTGCTTGGAAAACAGAAACTATCAGATGGAAATACCATCTTCTCATACCCAAATTGGCAATGCTCTCTAAACTTGCAGTCACTTTCATCCCATTGGTTATGGTGGAGGAAAGACATAGCCAGGACCAATCTCTCCCATTGTGCTCTGAATCCGTCCTTTTTTTTTTTTTTTTTTTTTTAATTTCCAGCTTTATTGAGGTTTAGTTGAAAAGTAATAATCGCTTATATTTAAGGTATACAATGTAATTATGTGATATATGAATGCACTGTATAGTAATTACATTAATTAACTTATCTCTCACCAAACTTACCATTTGTGTGTGTGGGGTAAGCACATTTAAGATCTACTCTTAGTAAATTTCGAGTAAACAATACAGTATTATTAACTATAGTAACCATGCTGCACAGAACTTACCCATTTTATAACTACAAGTTTGGGCCGAGCACGGTGGCTCATGCCTGTAATCCAGCACTTTGGGAGGCCGAGGTGGCTGGATTGCTTGACAGATATTAGAAGTGAGATTTCTGTTCCCACCAACCTGGCTTCCTTCCCCATCACTCCACAGGAATTTTGTGTTGCAATTACCAACCTCCATTTCGTTTTCTCAAGCTTACCTTTCTTAGACCCAAGAATATTTGGTAAGTGACACTGCTTCCTTTTTGAAATGGTCTCCTCTGTTCTTCCAGGGTAAAACCCTCTTCTGCTTTTTCTCTTTCCCCTCTGGCCACCCTTCAGTCTCCTTGGTTGGTTCCTATTCTACTTGATCTCCAAATATTGAGTCCTTCAGGCTATCTGGATCCTTCTTCACTCTGGACTCTTCCTGGATGATGTCATGTTTGCTTTTAAGTGCCATCTAAGTGATAGTATCTTCCAAATTTCTATTCCAGTCCAGACATGTTCTTGGAGCCTCAGCTAGGTACCTAACAGCTTGCACAGCACCTTCAGAGATGCACACCATGGAAGCACCCAACTCAGAAGGCCAGAGACTTACTCCCTCACCACCACACCTTTCTCCCTCCCATCCTCCCCTCACTCATGACATCACATCATACCTCTGATCACTCAGCGTTTCCGCCAGAAACCTGAGATTCACTCCTGGGTCCTCCTCTCACAGGCCCTTACTTTGTTCCATCTCTATCACCTCCCCACTGTCCTCCTAGTCACAGCCATCATTATCTCTGATCTAGGTAATTGCAAAAGCCTAACTGGGGCTGGGTGTGGTGGCTCAGGCCTGTAATCCCAGCACTTTGGGAGGCTGAGGTGGGCAGATCACCTGAGGTCAGGAGTTCAAGACCAGCTTAGCCAACATGGTGAAACCCCATCTCTACTAAAAATACAAAAATTGGCCAGGTGTGGTGGTGGGTGCCTGCAATCCCAGCTACTCAGGAGGCTGAGGCAAGAGAATGGCTTGAACCCAGGAGGTGGAGGTTGCAGTGAGCTGAGATTGTGCCATTGCACTCCAGCCTGGGTGACAAGAGCAAAACTCCATCTCAAAACACAAACAAAAAAGCCTAACTGGTTTTCCACTTTTTAGTTTCAATTTTCTATATACCTGCTAAAATAACTCTTGTTATCAGAGCATATTACCCTGATTTACCCTTCAATGGTTTCTCATCCCTTCTAGAACAAATAAGGCCTTGGCTGACCTGGCCCTGCCACTCTATTGAGCTTTATTTCATGTTTCTCTGACGATTCTACAATGTACTGAGCTCTTTCTTGACCCAAGCCTTTATGTCCATCATCTCTGCTAGAAAGCTGACTCCCTGGCTCTCGGCAGGTTGGAGTCCTTTTCATCCATCAGCTCTCAGCTTACAGTCACCTCACAGAACCCTGGTCCAACCACCTAATACAAAGCAGGTTCTCCTATTATTCTCAATTATGGTGTTCAGTTCTTGGTTTTGCCTCACAGAATATCCCAGTCTCTTACTCAGTAGTTTGTCTCGCCATCTAGAACGTAAGCTGCATGAGGATGAGGGCGTCTTAGTCACAGCTTTATCCCAAGTCTAGCATGATGCCTGGCACATAACAGGCATTCCATTAATATTTTGAGAGATCAGCTAAGTTTGGCATCCTAATTCCACATGAGGAAAGAAACTCACCTGAGGGCCCATGATTTTCCTACTTATTCAGATTGTTGTACTGAGGGCAATGTAGTAGTTAAAAGCACATATTCTGGTACCAGACTTCTTTGGTTGAAATCCCAGCTCCTCAACTGACTAGTTGTGATGCTGGGGAAATTATCATCCCGTTTCCTCGCTGGTATATGGGGATTATAGTATCTACATCTCATAGGACTGTTGCAAAGATTAAATGAGTTAATAGAAAGATGATGCCTGGCGTAAGATAATTCTGCTCTTCATTATTATGTAAACTCAAAAACTGTTTCTTCAACCCACCTCCCAACCCCTTACTATGCTTAGAACACAAAAAACAATGTTCTTTGAATGATATAACTAATAATTCCCCACAACTTTCACCACTCAAAACAGAACCTATGTCTGGACCTATACAATTAGGCTTTCTCAGATACTTCAAGGAGAATCAATATCCTCATGGCAAAACAAACAAAACAAAACAATTCATTCATGGGTGGACATTAAGTTTGGTCAAGCTGATCTTTTGGCGAGCACAGAGGATTTACCTGCTAGAACAGAGAACATTATTTTCTCTGTCAAAAGATCATAACAACATACTACTTTATTACCTGCATTGCCCCCAACAAGAGATTTTTGCAACAATAAGGTAGTAAAAATAATTTTTAAAATCTTAAAATAATCAGTGGCCTACAAGGTTACTAAATAGTGATTGAGAATATAGGAAGATATATTTAATGACCATTTCTCATTCATTTTGAAAGCTATTCAGACACCAGACAGTTTTAAAAAGTGTGAGAATTAATGATTTATTGTCACCCAGATGGCAATTGGATTTATAGTCTTTATACTTTACATTTTTTGTAAATTAAAAAAAAGACAAGTTTTAAATAGCCACTGCTGGTTATGTTTTCAGAAAACATGACTAGACTAATTCATTAATGGTGGCTTCAAGCTTTTCCTTATTGGCTCCAGAAAATTCACCCACCTGTTAAGAGAATACGGAACTGATATTAGACGTAGCATTGTAGCACTGTTTTATACATAAAACATCAGCATATAATGAAGGAAGAATAGTGGTGGAGGGAAGAAGTATAATCTTATTTAAAATAAACTTCTTTGAATAACATTAACTTATAAGCAAAAAACAAAGAAAAAATATCAGAGAAAAGTCAAAAGGCTCAAGTACCAATTTTCTTTAACACAAATGCCTAACAACAATAAATTAACTGCGTCTGAGAAATTCTATGTGCTTCATGATATAAACAGGAAGTACCAATCAGGGGGATTTGGTGGCTAGTTCTAGGAAAGATGGATTTTCAATTAGATGTCACATTATATACGAAAGTCAATGAGGAATGATGTATTTAAAAATTATTTTAAAAGCAGAACATGGCAATATGCCTCAGTCTTTGAAGGGAACGTGGTTTTTTTAATAATTTATACTGGTTTTCCTATTGCCCAGTTTCGAGTTTTAAAGGTCGGATGTACATACCTTTTGTCCCTTCTTAAAAAACTGGAATGTTGGCATGCATTTGACTTCACACTCTGAAGCAACATCCTGGTGGGGAACGTAGCAGGGGGAGAGGATTAAAAACAAGACTGTGAGTATTGGGCTTTGACAGAAGTAATCCAAAACCTGAATCTTTTCCCTGTCATGAATCTTTTCCCTGAATCTTTACCCGACATTTCAGCATGAGGACATTTTTCAGCATAAGAAAATTAATATAGTGAACATAATGGCAGTACAAAAGCCGAACAGGTTATATTCTTAATGAAAAATTCTTCTTAGTGGCACAGTCTCAGCTCACTGCAACCTCTACCTCCTGGACTCAAGCAATCCTCCCTCCTCAGCCTCCCCGTTAGCTGGGACGGCAGACACATGCCACCTCATCTGGCTTTTTTTTTTTCCTTCTTCTCAGAGACGGTCTCTCCATGTTGTCCAGGCTGGTCTCAAACTCATGAATTCAAGTGATCCACCTGCCTTGGCCTCCCAAAGTGCTGGGATTACAGGTGTGAGCCACCATGCTCAGTCTCCTCTTTATTTTTAAATAAAAATTGATTTTGTGAGGCCAAGGCTGGTGGGTCACCTGAAGTCAGGAGTTCAAGACTCGTCAAAATACAAAACTTAGCTGGGTGTGGTGGCACATATCTGTCATCTCAGCCACTCGGGAGGCTGAGGCAGGATGCTCACTTGAACCTGGGAGGTGGAGGTTGCAGTGAGCTGAGGTCATGCCACTGTACTCCAGCCTGGGTGACAGAGTGACACTCTATTTTGGGTCAGGGAGGAGTGGGGGGAAAGACTTTGTAGATTCTCACATCTTGCTGCAGTATCAGAATCTCCTGAGGGGTACTACAAGTTTTCCCATCCACCCCCATCTTAAACCATTATAGTTAAAGTTGGGCTTCAGGTGGCTCTGAAGCTCTAATCTTTCAAAGCCATCCTGCTAAGAAAATCAACAAATTCCTAACATTGCACATTGGGCTAGTGGATCCATATTTTCTCCTCTCCTAGATGTGGGTCTTACCAGGTCTAAAGATTTTTCTGTAGCTCAAAGGTAACTGAAGTAACAGGCATTCCTCAACCGTGGCATGCGAAATGAGAACTCATAATACCCCATGTTCAACATGTTGTTAATGTTGTAAGAGGGCAAGGTTTGGAGGACAATACCATGAAACTGGTTTGGTTTGGAGCCCAATAGGCATTGAAAATGTCAGCCAGGCACTCAAAAGAGGACTGAGAAAGAAATACAGAACCATTCAGCACCTAAGCAGCAAAAGCTAACAGGACAGCAAGCGAGCAGGCGGGACTATGAGAACCAAATCACGGAAACCAACGGAGAACTCTAAAGGGGAAGAAAGGCCAGCTACAAACACTGACGACCTCTAGGATGGTGGTTGGCACTACTGTTGAGGAGTTCTTTCTAGGTGACCTTTACTTTTTCTTTTAATGCTGGACAATCTGCTGAGCATGAAAGTACAGGTTCTAATAAGAGGCACAAGGACAGTAATGGCTGGAATAAAAATGGCGACTATTTATTGAACACATGCTATCAAAGTAAGGGTTGGAGAGAGGTTACCCTTTGTAAAATAAGTATCATAACCCTGTTGGCTGTCAGAGAAATAAGGCTGGTCTATTATTTGCAAAAGGGCTACTACTCATACTTTTCTATGAATCTATGGAGGCAAAGTTAAAGTTCTCCAGTTTGTCAGAGGGTCACTTCAAGGTTTTAAAAGACACTCTCAGGCCAGGCACGGTGGCTCACGCCTGTAATCCCAGCACTTTGGGAGGCTGAGGTGGATGGATCACTCGAGATCAGGAGTGCGAGATCAGCCTGGCCAGCAACATGGCGAAAACCCATCTCTACTAAAACTACAAAAATTAGCCAGGCGCGATGGCAGGTGCCTGTAGTCCCAGCTACTCGGGAGGCTGAGGCAGGAGAATCGCTTGAACTCAGGAGGTGGAGGTTGTAGTGAGCAGAGATGGCACCACTGCACTCCAGCCTGGGCAACAGAGTGAGACTGTCTCCAAAAAAAAAAAAAAAAATACTTTCAGGGTGATGAGAGTGCCCCAAGCAGACATGGAGGAGGAGTTCTGTCATACAGAAGTCCTCGACTGCTTTGGATATCTATATTACTATACCATACTACATTTAGGTGGACGATGGACTGCATATATGATGGTGGTCCCACAAGATTATAATGAAGCTGAAAAATTCCTATCACCTAGTGACAGGTTAACTTCATAGCCCATTGCATTCGCTCGTGCTAACAAATCTGTGCTACGATTATATAAAAAGTATACCACTACAGGCTGCTTTGCCTATGGAGTAGCCATTCTTTGGTTCCTTTACTTTCCTAAGAAACTTGCTTTCACTTAAAAAAAAGCATATCACTACAATTATGTACAGTATATATTACTTGATAATCAACTAGGTTACTAGTTTGTATTTACTATACAGGTACTTTTATCGTTAATTTAGATTGTACTCCTACTTATTTGTTTTAAAAAAGAAAGTTACTATAAAACAGCCTCAGGTGGGTCCTTCAGGAAGCACTCCAGGAGAAGGCACTGCTATCATAAGAGATGAAAGGTCCATTTGTGTTATTGCCCCTGAAGAGCTTTCGGTGAGAAAGATGCAGGGATGGGAGACAGTGGTACTGATGATCCTGACCCTGTGACTGTCTAGGCTAATGTGTTTGAATCTTAGTTTTTAACAAAAAGGTTTAAAACATTAAAAAAAAAAAAAAAAAGCTTAAAGACTAAGGATATAAAGAAAATATTTTTGTAGATCTGTACAATGCATTTGCGTTTTAAGCTAAGTGTCAATACAAGAGTTAAGAAGTTAAAAAATAAAAAAAACTTATAAAATAAAAAAAGTTAAAATAAACTTAATTTACTGCTGGAAAAAATAAATTTTAAAACTAAAATGTGTGGCTGGGGACGATCGCTCACACCTGTAATCCCAGTAGTCTGGGAGGCCAAGGCGGGTGGCTCACGAGGTCAGGCGATGAAGACCATCCTGGCTAACACGGTGAAACCCTGTCTCTACTAAAAATACAACAACAAAAAATTAGCTGGGCATGGTGGCAGGCACCTGTAGTACTAGCTACTTGGGAGGGAGGCTGAGGCAGGAGAATTGCTCGAACCTGGGAGGTGGAGGCTGCCGTGAGCCAAGATTGTGCTGCTGCACTCCAGCCTGGGCGACAGAACGAGACTGTGTCTCAAATAAAATAAAATGTGTATAGCCCAAGTGTATAGTGTTTATAATGCCTACGGGTTCTCCAAGCCCCGTTTATGGCAAGTACCTTATACAGGCATACCATTTTTTAACTTTTTATATTGTATTTTCACCATACCTTTTCTATGTTTAAATGCACAAATACCTACTGCTGTGTTTTAATTGCCTACAGCATTCAGGATAGTAACCTGACTTTCATGTTTGTGGCCTCCACACAGCCTAGGTGTACAGGAGGCTATGCCATCTAGGTTTGTGTAAGTAGACTATGCGTGCACAATGAAACTGTGTCGCATTTCTCAGGAGGTATCCTCACCATTAAGTGATGCATGACTGTACTTCCCAAAGGCAGTAAGAACACCTGTCCTCAGTACAGTATGGTGCATTGCTCTGCCTCAGGAAACCTACTTGACCTGTGCTGCAGTTCCATTACCTGTTCAATGAGGGTGCTAATAAAATATATTCTTATAGTTACAGTGAGGATTAAATGACAGAGTGCATGCAAAGGGCTTATCATGGCATCTAGCATCTATTATTACTTTCTTTTCTTTGAGACAAAGTCTCGCTCTGTCACCCAGGCTGGAATGCAATGGCGCGATCTCACCTCACTGCAACCTCCGCCTCCTAGGTTCAAGCAATTCTTCTTCCTCAGCCTCCCTAGTAGCTGGGATTACAGGCACCAGCCACCATGCCTGGCTGATTTTTTTGTATATATATATATATATGCATATTTTTTGGCCAGACTGGTCTTAAACTCCTGACCCCGTGATCCACCTGCCTTGGCCTCCCAAAGTGCTGGGATTACAGGTGTGAGCCACGCACCTGGCCTAGCACATTATTATTAATTTCAAGTAAAAATCAAGCTGCTACCTGATAGGATCAGTGGCAGTTAGAATTTCTCTTTTCCAGGTGCAATTTTCTCCTAGCTAAATTGACCTTCATAGAAGAAATAAGACTAAATTTGATTAAAACTAGGAACAAGGATTTTTTTAAACAAAAGTGCAATTATACTCCTTAAAAAAAAAAAAAAAAACCTCTGGGGACACATCTAGAACAGTCACTTACCAACTACATTCCATTCATCATTCGTTCATTCCACACCTACACTACATGCAAGGCAGGTGTGCTAGGTGAAGGGGAAACCAAAGTGAATTAAGACAGGGTCCCTGATCCCAGAAATTTACTGGTAAAGGACAGACATAAAGATTATAATAATTGCCAGGACTCACTGAGTACTTAGGGTACACAAAGGGGTAAGTGGAGAAGGGGTGAGGCTCATGACAAGGAGTTAAGTCAGGTAGGAAAGGATAGGACAGACCAGATGGAGAAGACAGCATGAGCCAAGGTAGGGGTTGCCCAAGGCACAGTCAAAAACTGGCTGAGAATAGGCAATCTGGGGTTGCCGTGCTCTCCCATGTTTACAGTACTGCCATATGCCCATTTTAAGTGACCCTTCAGCCTTTATTGGACATTCCATGTTTGCTCAATGAATAAGCAACCTTGGGAAGTTGATGGGGACAGGTCTTAAGGCTCAAGGAAGATGACTGACCAGCCTAAGCAGAGGCCAGTGAGCCAGGACTGGAAGCCAGGTCCAGCGCCTCTGTTGCCATGCCATACCCCTCCCTCCCCACTGGGGCTAAGTAAAAATGCTCACATATCTGTAAAGAGCCCCGAAGTGATACCTCCTCAACAGCCTCTCCTAGGTCAGTGGTCACATGGTGAATACTGGATCTACACCCACCACAAGACAGAGCATCCTCTAATGGGTAGTGGTTAAGGTCAAGGGCTGGGAAGCCAGACCACTTCATTTTAAATCCTAGCTCAGCCATATACTCACTGAAACTTCATGAACAACCTCTGTGTTTTAGTTTTCTCATTTATAAAATGGGGATGATAACAGCACTCAGGATTAAATGAACTGATACTTAAAAACTACCCAGAACAGTGCCTGGTATATATCAAGTGCAAAACAAGTATTCATTAAATGAAACCAACCCTGGAATTTCTTCCAAATTATTCTCTCAGGCAACTTGGTGTTTATTCGTTAAAACGTTTGTGGTTTCTAATTGACTAAAACCAACCAAGACTAGAAGAGGCTTGCATATGCACGTTCTCCTGCTACTACAAGTTCACAAAGAGCCCTACAAGTTGTCTCATAACATGGTGACTCCATCGAGCCTATGGATGTAATGATCATAGCCAAATTCAATCTCTATTTATTGAGCTTCTCAGAGTGCAAGGTATGTAGGGTTTTAGAAAGGTGGGTGGCCTACAAGATTCAGAAGCCTCACTCATTAGTTTTTGTTTACTTTAGGATGTGATATACAGCTCCTGATAGCTAGGATTCAGCTCCTAATTTACCTGCTCTTCTGAGATAGAACTTTTTAGATAGGATTACAGTCCTAGTATTATTTGACACATTTATGGAAAAAACCACGGTGCAATTCAGAGAAAAGGGCCAGGGTGAAAAGCTCAGTAGTAAGTCAAATTTCCAGCTACGTACCTGACAGTCATCCACATCTACTTCAAGGAATACCACATTGGAATATTTTTCAGAGAGGGACTGGAAAATTTAAAATGAAAAATCCAAAGAGATTTAGAACTAGGTAATGGCAGTCAAAATACTCAAGATTCTTAAATGGAAACTTAATAGAAGTAGAGACTAATGAAAGATCCAAAAATTTAGATCTTTGGAGACATAAGAGACATAAATTTTCTCTAAATCAAATTTTTCCTAGTATAAAGCAGTTTGGCATATCAACCTTTGAGGCTGGGATTTCAAATAGGGCCCATATTTCAACATGGGGAAAAAAAAGAACTATGTAAGACAAATTTCTAAAAGTTGTTTTCAATGGGCTACTGTATCAAACCTAAATTATCTGTGATACTACTACTTTTAGAACAAAGATCCAGCCAAAGAACCCCCCCAACCAAAAGTAAAATCCTTTAATTGTCTTTCTTTCCTACCTTCGTGACCATCAACCCCCAAACCACAAATCTCTAACAGAGTAGACATTGTTTAATACTCACATGAAAAAAAGGCTTGATCATTTTGCAAGGTCCACACCACGTGGCTGAAAAGTCAACTACTACAAGTTTATCACCTGCGGCATCCAAGGCTTCCTGAAAAGCATCCTAACAGCAAAAGAAAAGCTTATATTAAATAGTTAAATATTAAATCTCCAAAAGAAAGACTATCAAGCACATTCTGGAGGTCTTCCTTTCAGGACCCACTCTTTAGCCAAAAAAAAAAAAAAACAAAAACAAAAACAAAACCCAACCAAGCCAAGTAAAACTCAGTTTGAAGAAATTCTACACATTGTTGGTAGTGTTACTTGGTAAGATGAAACAAGATATAATGTGTAGAGTATACTGATATTCATGTCTTCATGACTATTTTATAAAATATTGTGAAATGGCTAGTTTCTCTCTAAACCAAACAAAAGGAAAATAAAAATTGACACTTGTACTGAAAATGTTTCCATGTCAAGGTTAGGTGTATGGTAGACATTCACTAAACACTTATGGATTATGAAAGGAGTCACTTGAAGTCACAAAGGCATAGGATTTGGCAATTGAAACATCACAAGTTACACTTAAAAAAAAAAGCTATCATTTTTGATTAAACTCACTTTTCTATGGTAGACCATACAAAAATCTAATTAAAAAAAAAAAAAAAAAGTCAAGGAAACTAACTTCCCTCAAACCTCAACACTCAGATACCACTGTTGACAGAAGCATAATGGTGTTTTCCGGAGTTGAGATCACAGGTTTACCAACCTTTTATTTTTACCCTTTCCCTTAAAACTACGCGTTCATCATTCATTAAGTTTTAGTTCCTCATGAAGGAAATTTTTCTTAGGTATTATTTTTCATAAGGAATGCTTGTTAACTAAAATTCCCAGTAGAAATGATCAAAAAATCTCTTATTACCAACTTCCCTGAATTATTTACTAACTAGATACTGTAACCCCGGGAACCAAATAGTCCAGTTACAAAGGACTCACTTTTTTTTTTTGGTTTTATTTTTGAGACAGAGTTTCACTCTTGTTGCTCAGGCTGGATAGATGGAGTGTAAAGGTGAGATCTGAGCTCACTGCAACCTCCACCTCCAGGGTTCAACGGATTCTCCTGCCTCAGCTTCCAGAGTAGCTGAGATTACAAGTGTCCGCCACCATGCCCAGCTAATTTTTGTATTTTTAGTAGAGACGGGGGTTTGCCATATTGACCAGGCTGGTCTTGAACTCCTGACCTCAAGTGATTCACCCACCTCAGCCTCCCAGAACAAAGGACTCATTTTAACCACAATTAGTCAGTTAGTGCTGACCAAATCCCAAAACCAAACAGAGCAATTAAGATAAATCAAAACATAAACATCTGTATCTGAAGTCTAGGTTTTCTTCAAGGAAATGATGCTGGTCAAATAGGTTTAATAAAAAATGAACATCCCACCCTCCCACCCCACCACAAGAAGTCCGGTAAAGGAAGTCAAATAAATAAAACACCATAACATAAAAAACAAAATAAGCAAAAAAAACCCAACAAGAAAAAACTAAAGTGACCTCATGTAGTAACAGTTACTTCTCCAGATTTCTAATTTCTACCTCATGTTTTTGGGAAAATAATTCACAAATGGTATTCCTGAGAATGCTATGACAAGGCTTCCGTAATTATGCAAATCCCCAGGTGCAGCAGGGAACATTAGAAGTACAGCAATTGTTTATCCAAACCATCACCGATTGTTCAGATGAATTTCATTCAAAGCCTTCCCTAATGTGATTTTCAAGAAAGTTAAACCAGCCATCCTTTACTGCAAAACCCAGCTAAGACAGGAAAAAAAGGTCAAGAAATGCCAATGTCTGGTTGAATAGACATTTTTTTTTTTTTTTAACATGGTTGACCCTCATTAAAAACCTAAGATTACTTTCAAGAGGGAAGGTATTTCAAACATACTCAAAGTGTTTCGAAAACAGTTCTGAATCAAAATTAAGCCCAAGTGCCTAAAACTCTGAAAAGAGGCATGCAACAATAACTTTCAGCCTAACTGAACATGAGTTACATCCCAGGTATGTGCAGACTTCATGGACAAATTCTCTTCTGATCCTTCTAAACGGGTATCAGCTTGAAAATTATTCAAGATTATATTACTAAGAAGAAATCACAATTTCTAGCTCCTGGAAACCAACAGGATTAACAAATGTCTCCATCACTGATACCAAAAATCTGGGGGAAGCAAAACAATGTGGTTGGGGTAAATAGGAGCAGAGTCTAAAATCTCTTTGCCTAAACATACCTACCCCAAAGGTAATAAATGTAAGTGGTTTCTTTGTTTCAAGATGTTGTTTCGCTCTTGGTGCCCAGGCTGGAGTGCAATAGCAGTCTCAGCTCACCACAAGCTCTGCCTTCTGGGGTCAAACGATTCTCTTGCCTCAGCCTCATGAGTAGCTGGGATTACAGGCGTACGCCACTACGCCCAGGTAATTTTGTATTTTTAGTAGAGACAGGGTTACTCCATGTTGGTCAGGCTGGTCTCGAACTCCCGATCTCAGGTGATCCACCCGCTGCCCTGCCCTCCCAAAGTGCTGAGATTACAGACCTGAGCCACCACACCCAGCAGAACATGAGTGGTTTTTGAAGCATTTAGTGAAGTGCCTTGTGTATGGGAGTTCAATAAATGGTAGGTGTCTTTTAAGTGTTTATTTTTTCCTCATCACATTTACAACAATTATTCCGCTCCTTTCTGAAATAGATCCCATTTGGCCCTAAAGCACCAACTGAGTGCCTCTGAAACAGAACTGTTCTGGATGACCAGCGGTGCCAATTTAGCCCATTAGGATGAAAATGTAAGATGTATTCAATATTTACAAATAACAGAACAGGTACAGTGGCTCACACCTGTAATCCTAGCACTTTGGAGGGCCAAGGATGGTGGATCACCTGAAGTCAGGAGTTTCAGACCAGCCTGACCAACATGGTGAAACCCTGTCTCTACTAACAATTCAAAATTAGCCGGGTGTGGTGGTGCATGCCTATAAATTCCAGCTACTCGGGAGGCTGAGGTGGGAGAATCACTTGAAGCCAGGAGGTGGAGGTTACATGAGCCTAGACTGCACTCCAGCCTGGACAACAAGAGTGAAATTCTGTCTCAAGAGAAACAAAAAACAAAACAAAACCCAATCAAATTAGTATAACTTTTCCATCAGTGACTTTGGATTGTAATTTTGAAGTTGAATTGATTATCAGTGCCTTTGGGCCCCAGGCTGTAGTGCTTTTTTAAAAGTTCCTGTCACCCATGTAAACCTTTGTCACTGGTAGAGGAGGAAGGTGCCACCATGCTGTGACAACTGGGAGGCCTAAACTGTGTGCTCCAGAAATCCTAATCAACTTTCTGTTTAGTGTCTGGATTTTGAGACAATTACTATAGACCATTCAAAGGTCTTCTGGCTCCGTGGAGGGGGTTCTTAGCAGTTCGGTTATACTGAGGTTGCCAGACCCTGGAGAACAGAACTCCTGCCCCACTCTCTTTCTCAGCCATGGACTAATAATTTATCACACAACAGGTGCTTGGAAAAAAGTATATGAACGACAATTGCAGAATGAGGGCTGCTAAAAAGCCCACTAGAAAAACAAAAAACAAAACAACTGATTAAGAACAAGAAGATAAAAGACCACAATGGCAATCAACATATGAGAATAAAAAACTGAGGGTCAATAATAATCAAAGGAACAAAAGGATCGATCGGGGACACATTGCAAACACACTTCTGTTTTCGAAGCCCACCTGGCACCAAACAGGTCAGGGCACTTGAGGCGGGCAAAGACCCGCCCTCCCAGCTTCCCGGGGGAGGGGGAATCGCAGGGTAGTCACTGGCAAGGGGTCTTCCACTGTTTGAGCAACATCCATTTCCCTCACTGACTTTTCTGACGCTGCATTTAACAAGTATTTCTGGAGTGGCTACAGCAGACCAGACACTGCGTGTTAGGCTCCGGGTTTCCCAGTCTGTTAGGTGTTAGGCTTGCAGTAACTTTCGAACACAGGAACGCTGTTATGCCTTGGGCATTTTTAAGAGGACTAAACAACGATCGGGATACCTATAGGCCGGCGAGCAGACAGCAGGGCGCGGCTGCTCGGAGGAGGAACCCCGGCTCCAGCAAAACCCACCAACTAAGGGTGAATCATGGACGAGCAGGGCAGCCGAGGCCCCCGGGCCCAACCTTGGGGACTGAGTCACTCCAAAGCCACTGCTGCCGGAAACACGCCCTGCGCCACAGGAGGAGTCCCATGGGCGCGGCCCCGACCTCACTTCCTTGCGGCCACCTGGGGCCCTCGGGCCTCCCGGCCAGACCTGCACGCGTCAGGGGATCTCCAGCCGCAATCCGTCCCCTTAGTGCGGATACAGCACGCGCCACCTTTGGGACTCGGCATAGGTGGAGGCAGCCGGGGAGTCTCCGGCCTAGACCCGCTACCAAGGGGGATCACCACCCCCGCTGCGGGTGGATCGCCTCGCAGACGAAAAGGCAGCGGCGGCCAGCGACCAGTGCCTTCTGCAAGGGGCCCCCCCCGTCCTTGCCTGGGGCCTGAATCTGGATACAGATGGAGGCCAAGGGCGGACCCCTTCCATTCCCTCACCTTTCTTTGCCCAGTCGGGGTTGCCCAGACCGGAGGGTGCAGGAGGCGCCGCGTGGGGACTCCTCGCGCTGCCTGCGCTAGTACATCCCCTGGGAGCTCCCCGCGTGCGTGCAAGCGCCGGCGCACAGTGAGGGCAATGCTGGGCACCGCCACCCCGCCCTCCAGGGGTTCCCCGTCTCTCTCCTCCCTTCCCCAGGACAGGCTCCGCCGCCTCGGGCGCGCCGTGGCCGCTCCTTCCCTCAGTCCCAGGCCGAGACGCCGCGACTCTTTCCCCTAGGGATGCGGGGAGACGGCCTCCGCACCTCCCGCCACCGCCTTCCCCAGCTACAGGGGCGGCAGGCGGCGCCGGCGCCCTGGCCTTTCCCAGAGCGCGTACCTTGCTGTCGATCTGCTTGACCATCTTGGCTGCTAGGGTCTGACGAGCAGCTGTTAAGACCGATGGAAACGGATCCAAAGCACCGAACCGAGTTAGGAGAGAGCGCGTCGCTTGCTCTCCTTTATACCACGCCCCGCGTGCGTGTGGCGGGGGCGCGCGCGCCCGCCCGGACCTCCGCGCCCGCTGCTGCGCCCGGCCCCGCCCCGCCCCCAGAGCCGGAGAGCCGGAGAGCCGGGGCGGGGCGGGGCTGGCGCAAGCGTGGGGCGGAGCTCCAGGGCCTTTGCTCTGGTGCCCTGAGGCCCAGCTTGCGCCCCAGCTGCAAGTGGGGATCAGCACTGCGCGTCACGGTGAGAGGCGGGGAGACGGACAGTCATCCCCATACACACAGGGCCCTCCCGGGTCACCTGGGGATGCGTCTGTCGGGCCCGAATCGAACGCGCCCACGCTCGAGATGGGGACAGTCCTAGGACCGCCCAGGCAGGGCTGGATTTCTCGAAAAGGCCCGCCACGCCCCGGCTCCCCCGCCCAGTCCCGTGAACCCCACAAAGTGCTGAGTAACGGTGACCAGGAAGTATCTCAGTGTGTGCGTCCTCGCCTCCTCTCCTGAATTTACCATGACTGTTCTCTTCTCTGTAACCTCCTTCTGTTCTTCTGTTTTCACTGCTCAGCCCGCTGCTCCAGCTTGATGCAGCGGCTTAAACAGTAGAGCCGACCAGGGGACTGGCTGGGCTCTTGACTGTCAGACAGCTGCGTGTGAGATGGAAGTGCCGCCAGGGTGAGCTCTGGAACTTAGTTACGCAGTTGTGAACCTAGAAAGGTTCTGACCTCCTAGGGTCCCAGTGTTCCCTTCTGTAGAATGGGAATCATGATGGTCTCAATCTCACAGTGGTGTTATTTTGAGGGTTGTAGTGCTTGCAAAGTGATGAGGACCGTGCTTGGCACATAGTAAACACTCCGTAGCTAGTTCTTATTATTCGGTGTCTTGCAGGGCCTGATTGGGCCTGGCCACTTTATACAGCATTTATGGTGGCACAGTGCATGTTCGTGTGAGTTTTTTCTAACAGAGGCAGACTCCTGGAACAGAAGTCGGAGTTTGCGTTGATCCAGGAATGCCTGTTGCAGGTTGTGTCTGGCAGGGCTGGGGATTGTGGAAGGTGCGTTAACTGGCCTTGTGGAGCCAGGAGGGCCTGTCAGCTGCTGGAAGTGGAGGTGGAGAAGCTGCTCACAGGAACCAGAGTCAGAAGGCTGGGAGGGAGAGTCCCAGGTCTGTGTTTTCAGAGCCTTCCCCATGAAGCTACATCTAGGTGTGATTGCCTAGGGGTGGTAAAACTGTTGCTGTTGCCTGGCTGCCCCCTAGAACCCTTGGGTTCCTTCTTTTGCTCTTTCAGACAGAGGAAGGGAGGAAACCAGAGGTTTTGACCTATTGTGCAAAGTTTCTAGGGGGCCTAGGAGCACCGAACGTGAATAAGGATGTAGGCAAGGGACGCATTCTAAAGACAGCCCTAGACGGAGGGAAGACAGACTGCCCCGAATGTAGCAACGTTCCCAAAGAGAGGAAGGTTACTGGGGCAGAGAGGTAGGAACTGGATGGAGTGCTGAGAGCAGATTCTATAACCAGCTTTTCTGCTGCCGGGTTTTCAGTTCAGCTGCATCTCAGATTCCTGGATTTTACCTATTTGTTGGTGAATTTGCCCGGGTGATGACAGCAAATCATTGAGTGACAGGAAGGGGCAATACAAGCCATCCTCAGCTGACTTCTCTCCAAGGACCTTCCAAATGTCCAGTGACTCAGTGAAGAATGTACTCCCTCCCTCCTGCCTCCACATAACCAATGCAGAGTAGAGGTGGAGGATGGTACAGTTATGAGGAACTGGGAAGCCAGAGTATGTGTTGAGTCTAGACTCTGCAATTAGACTCCCTTGTCCTCATCCCTACACTACCACTTCATGACTGGGTAACTCCAGGCAAGTCTAAATAGCCGTTTGAAGCCTCAGTTTCCTTATCTAAGAAGTGGGCATAATAATGGCTTGTGCTATTATAAGGGTTGAGTGAACTAAAATATATGTAAAATGCTTAGAACCGTGCCTGGTGTGCAGTGAATGCTACATGAACTATGATTACAGGGTATTAAATGGAATGATGAGATCCATCTGGAATGATGGCAGAGCTAGGGTGGAAGGAGAGACTGTAAAACAGGTGTCAGTCTTAAATGAATTAAGTAATGAAGACAGTACTAGTGAACAGTGAGCTCTGTAACATGAGCCTCAAAGGAAAATGGATTGTTTTTTCACCCTGCCAGGAAGAAAAGCAGGCTGGACCTGGTCCCTAGGAGCAGGTTCCCTGGAGTCGTGGCAGGGAGGTGATGTTCTATGAGGAGAGTGAGGTACAGGGGAATTATTTGGGATTGCCCAGAGAGGAAGGGTTTATTCAGGCAGAGAAATGTAGAGGTTCTGTGTATTAGTCAAAATTTTCAGTTGCAGGGAGGAATTCTAGATCAAACTGACATAAAACAAAAATAGAATTAGGAACTCAGATTATCAAGAACCCCAGGGGCCTAATGATGTCAGAGGGCACCACCTCTCTAGTTTCATTCTCAGATAGGCACTCTATGTAACTTAGGTTACTACTAGTTTAGTATATCTGCAGGAAGAGTGTTCCTCTTCCTTGTTCTTGTAAATGTCTGAGAGGCTGACCTTCAGTTTCATGGTGGGGGAAGGGATTAGCCTTGCTTGAAGCATTGAACCAAGAGTAGGAGAAATCTAGGGGGTTACCAGAAAAAGGGGAGATTGCTGCTGGACCAACAAAAACGATATTTTCATGTCATCCAGAAGAGCAGAAACATGTAATAAGGGTGATGGGCCTGCTTCAGGTTAGCTGCTTTAGGCCCATCTGGGTCAGCTGAGTCCAGCCTCCATATGGGACTAGAGAGCTGGGTCAGCTGTCTTTGTTTGGGTCTCAACTCCAATTCGAAGAAAATGCAGTTGTAGGATTTCTGAAATAAGTTTTTCTCACCTGGGATGTTTCTCTGAGTGGTTCTTGACCCCCTAATTCATCATAGCCAAAGGTGCTCGATCATACTGCGCATTCCTGGACCACACCCAGACAAACACACAGATTCAGTCTTTTGAGGTAGAGCCTTGGAGTCTGCCTTTTAAAAAAACATCTCAGGTGATTAGATACACTAAATTTGATAAGCTTTGCCATGGGACCTTTGGAGGGAAGCTAGCATTAGTTAAGCTTCAAGACTGTCTAGCAAGACAATTGAGATGAGAGAACGTGGTAAGTGACATAAAATCAGGAGCTTGAAGTACTACAGTAAAAAAAAGTGGTAGAAGGAACAGGAACAAATAAACCTGGGTGGGACAATCATTAAATGCCATGGCTAGAGCTGGGTGTATTATCATTCCTCTCAATGTCCCTTAGGAGATAGACGTTATTTTTATTATTTTACAGAGAAGGAAATCAAGGTTCAAAGAGATCACCTAGTCATACCAAACCTTCACTGATTCTTAGACTCTGTTCATGAAGGGTAGGAGGTATCAGCACAGTTTTCAAGCCAATCTGCGTATCTTAAGTACCCCTCATTTCATCAGTGAAAAATATCTGACATCCTTTATGCTCATGTGCTGTCTGTTACAACACATCAAATGTTAACTATTTGGATTGTAAAAAATAATTTACACATAAATGTATATCATGCTTTCATTGCCAAGTTTTTTAATGTAAATTTCAGATAATATAATAACCCCTGTGAATAACCTACTCTGCATATCACTGCTCCTTATAGCCCTTAATCTGGTCCAGTGGTTGCCCTTGCGGCCCCCTTGAGCCCTTTCCCCATGTAGCATGGAACCATCTAGATTCGGCAAGCACCACCGTATTCCCAGATGTTTCTTTTGCTTTAACTGGAAGTTTTGCCCTTCTCAGGCAAATACGACATACAATGCTCCATGGATGCCAGGGCCAGGGCTTCCCATTGCTGTGTCTAGATTCTTTCTCCTTACAAAATCCCATGGATTTTTGGAAAGAAAAGAAAATTTTTTTGAAAGAAAAAGGAACTTGACCCTTATACCATGCCATAAAATTACTTAAAATTTACCAAGGATCTCCTGGAAGAAGACATTAGAGATAATCTTTGCAACCTTGAGGTAGGCAAATATTTCTTAGGCAAGACGCAGAAAATTACAAATATTTCTTAGGCAGGCTATAAATGAAAAAGTTAATAAATTTGACTTCTCACAACACACACACAAACACACAAATGTGTGAGGTGATGCATATGTTAATTAGCTTGATTTAGCCATTCCACATTGTATACATATATCAAAATGTGTTGTACACCATCAATATATACAAGTTTCACTTGTCAATTAAAAAAAAATTAAAAACAAAACAAAACGGGGGAAGCTAGCAGTCTTGCATCCCCGGCGAAGGGACGTATGCTCTATTGGGTGGATTTAATTTTATATTATGTATTGTTATGGGTAGTTAGATAGGCATAAGCAGGGCAGGAGAGGGCTTTCCCCACACCCACTAAGAATGTCAGTGATAGTTGGACAATTATCACACTACCTCTCTAAAAATGATAATTTGGCAGCCTACCCAGGGTGCCAGGGAGAGGCCATTTCCTGATTATCCACAGCTGTTTATTTAAAGTGTTATTTATTTAAAGTGTTAAATAAATGCAGATACCCAGGAGAAGCAACTTCCTGGGCACTTGCACTAAGAAACAAAATGGCAAAATAGGACCTTCCGGAGAAAGGGAAGAAAGTCTCAGATGGGCATGCACACGACTTCCTAAACACATGTTCCTGCTCAATTCCCAAGGGTAAGGAGGGTGACTACACATGCAGGCAGCCCACCATGAGGGAAGAATCACAGGAAAGAGGCAAGCCTATAATAAAGTCCTGAGATCATGTTGAATTCTTTCTTCTGAGGAGGCAAGGACGTAGTTGTTGCAGATGTCTACAGATTTGCCGCTGATAACTCAGGGTAGCTTGAATCTCTTCCACTGGTAACAGTACCATCTAAAGAAAATAAAAATACATAGAATAAATTATAAAAACTAAAAATCTCTGCTGTTTGAAAAATATTGCTTAGCCAGGTGCAGTGGCTTAACGCCTATAATCCCAGCACTTTGGGAGGCTGAGGCAGGGGGATCACAAGGTTAGGAGACTGAGACCACCCTGACCAACTTGGTGAAACCCCAACTCTACTAACATACGACAATTAATTGGGTGTGGTGGTGTTTGCCTGTAGTCCCAGCTACTTGGGAGGCTAAAGCAGGCGAATCACTGGAACCCGGGAGGCAGAGGTTGCAGTGAGCCAAGATTGCACCACTGTACTCCAGCCTGGTGACAGAGCGAGACTCCGTCTCAAAAACAGCAACAACAGCAAAACAAAAGAATTGCTTAAAAATAAATGAAAATGAACTGGGTGAAGGTATCCTCAATATATACATCTAACAAAGGACCTTCATTCAGAATGTATAGGGATCTGTTACAACTCAATAATAGGAAGACAAATAACTGGTAAAACCATGGCAATAGATTTGAATACATACTTCTAAAAGAAGATATAAGTTGAGAGGCTGAGGCAGGACAATCACTTGAATGCGGGAGATGGAGGTTGCAGTAAGCTGAGATGGTGCCACTGCACTCCAGCCTGGGACTCTGTCTCAAAAAAAAAAAAAAAAGATATATAAATGACCAGTAAACATATAAACAGATTGATCGCTCAACATCGTTAATCACCAGAGAAATTCAAATTAAAGCCGTAAGATACCACTATTCAAACTTGAGACTGGTAAAATTAAACACACACACACACACACACACACACACACACACACACACACACACACTACCGAATGCTGGCAGGATTGTGGACTAACTGGAAATAATTCATACTTTACTGATAGGATTATAAAATTGTACACCCACTTTGAAAAAACAGTTTGGCAAATTTTGTTTTTTGTTTCTGTTTTTAATGAAGTTAAACATACATTTACCCTGTGATCTAGTAATTCCACTTCTAGGCATTTACCCTCAAAAATTAAAACACATATATACAAGGACTTGCATATGAATGTTGGTAGCAGCTTTATTCATAAAAGCCCTAAAGTAAAACAACCCAAATATTCACCAACAGGTGAAATAATAATAAATGTGATATGTCCATGCAATAGAATAACAAAAAGGGACAAAATGCTTTTATACACAATAACATATGTAAATATAAAAAGCACTGCTGAGTAGAAGAAGTCAGACATTGAAGATTGTATGAACTCATTCATATAAAGCTCTAAAACAGGCACGTCTATAGTGACAGAAAGTAAATCAATGGTTTCTTGGTGTTGGGGTGGGAGGATTGCAGAAAGGCACGGGAAACTTTCTGGTGATTACATAGGTCTATAGATTTTCTACACCTCATGGAAAAATGCACTAAAAAGAAGTACATGTTATTATGGATACAAGTAATACCCTCAATAAAGTGATTTAAACTGTAAAAAATGTGAACTTTGAATAATCCTGTCTAGGCACAAAAACCATCTGTAAAGACATTAAAATACATATATAAGGCAGCAAAGATAAGTTGAAACATTTCATCAGAGCTCTAACTTGGGCCACAAAAATTGTAAGCATGGCTAACTGAAAGTGCATGCAAAAGTTGATAAGCTTTTTATTGTGATGGTAGCCTTCAAATAAGATATAGATGTTAAACATAGACAACCTAATTGGGTGATCTGCCAGACTTACCTTACATGCTGAGATGTGGAGATCCACGGAGGGAAACACACAGGTTAACAGAACTTGGTATCCTCTTTACAAAGGAAACTGAGCCATCCACATTAATGCTTCAAGAGCTGCACATAACTAAGAGATAGGGTAAGAATTCTCCTTATATGCTAGAATCAGGTAAGTTACAGGGATGTCTGCTCTCATTACTTCTACTCCATGTTCTCAACAGAGCAACTGGGCAAGAAAAATAAAAGGAGTCCTGGTGGAGTGCATTGGCTCCCCAGTGTAATCCTAGCACTTTGGGAGGCCGAGGTGGGTGGATCACTTGAGGCCAGGAGTTTGAGACAAGCCTGGCCAACAGGGTGAAACCCTGTCTCTACTAAAAATACAAAAATTAGCCATGCTTGGTGTCTCATGCCTATAGTCCCAGCTACCTGGGAGGCTGAGGCACGAGAATGGTTTGAACTGAGGAGGTGGGAGGTAGAGGTTGTAGCG